CTGAGTCCGATGCCAGCCTGGGCTACAAAGTGAGTTCAAAGCCGCCTAAACTGCAAAACTCATCTCAAAAAAAGACTAAAAAAGAAACCTTGGGGGCTGGGGATTTAGCTCAGCGGCAAAAGCGCCTGCCTGGCAAGCGCAAGGTCGTGAGTTCGGTTCCCGGTACCGGAGAAAAACCAAAAAAAAAAAAAAAAGAAACCTTAAATATTGCAAAAAAATCACATTCTCACTATTCAGAGATCACTCTTATGAATACTTAATTCAGACCAAGTGTAGTAGTGCATACCTGTAATCTCAGCACTCAAGAGGTTGAGGCAGGAGGATTGTAGGTTAGAGGCCAGCCTGAAAAATAAGACCCAGCCTCAAAAAAAAAAAAAAAATCAAATGAAAGCCAGACATGGTGATGCAGTCTTGTGTTTCCAGACCACTGAGAAACTGAGGCAAAAGGATCCCAAGTTCAAGATCTGGGTAACTTAGTGATTTAACAAGACCTGTCTCAAAAATAAAAATAAGTAAAAAGGGCTAGTGATGTGGCTAAGGGCAAAGACCCTGGGTTTGAGTCCCAGTGCCACAAAAGTGAATGTTGAATTATTTTAAGGCCAGGGGCATAGCTCAGTGGTAGAGCACTGGCGTAGCATTGCATAAGGCCCTGGGTTCCATTCCTAGCACCATACACACATAAGAGTAAAAGAAGGAAAGAGAGAAATTTGTAGTTAACATTTTTAACCAGTACAACCACTGGTTTGAACCACTGGTTGTACATACATGACTGTCCCATCAGGAGGCTTGTACTACTGGTACAAATGGATCTAATCACTTTTCTTGGTCTTTTTACTGATAAAGTTAATAAAATGTCACTCGATGGCACAGTCATGCATGTACCACTGGTGGACAAGCCACCCAGCAACAAGACATACAAATTACAGCCCCAACATGAATGTGTTAATGCCCTTACGAATCTCTCTTTTTAAAATATAAATGAGCCGGGCGTGGTGGCGCATGCCTGTGATCCCAGCACTCAGGAGGCTAAGGTGGCGGTAGGATTGTTGTGAGTTCGAGACCAGCCTGGGCTACAAAGTGAGCTCAAGGCCAGGCTAAACTGCACAGGGAGACCCTGTCTCAAAAAGACAAATAAATAAATAAATAAAATATAAATGCGGGCCAGAGATATAGCTCAGCGGCATAAGCACCAGCCTTGCAAGCGCAAGGTCCTGAGTTCAATTCCTGGTACCAAATATACATTTATATAAATGAGCCGGTTGTGGTGGCACCTGCCTGTAATCCCAGTACTTGGGAGGCTGAGGGAGGAGGATTGCCGAGAATTCAAGACCAACCTCAGCTACACAGTGAGTTCAGGGTCAGCCTGAACTGCATAGTGAGACCCTGTCTCCAAAAAAATAATAAAATAAAACAAAATGTAAGGGCCGGGGTGGCACAAGCTCCTGCCTAGCAAGCACAAGTTTGATTCCTGGTACCAAAAATAAAAATAAAATATAAATGAGTAATCCCAGTACTTGGGAGGCTGAGGCAGGAGGATCACCACGAGTTTGAGGCCAACCTGAACTGCATAGTGAGACTCTGTCTCAAAGAACAAACAAAAAACCCCCAAAATGAAAACTTAAATGAGATTGAGTAACCTGTTTTTATTCATGTGATTTCTCAATTTGGCAAATTTTCATCTCATCTCATAACTTGACATTAATCACATTTTTCTGGTTGGTCTCAAAATGTCTTTTTTTCCCAATTTTTTTATCTTTAATTTTTATCCAAAATGTCTTTAACCCTAACCCCAAAATATTTTTAATGGCTGGTTTTCTGAAAACCAGTGTTCGGTTTCAGAGAACATGTTGTACCTGGTTATTTTCTGTCCTTGTGTCATTGTGGTCCCTTTTTTCCTGACACCAACTTGTGGATTAGAACAGCTCAGTTGACCTGCAGCAAATGTTCAACCTTTTGGATTTTTCTAGTAGATTTTTCCACTGGCTTTCGATTGTATCATTTTGCTTGTTCTGCTCTCACCTCTGTTTCCTGTCAGCTAGAAGGTAGATCTCATTTGCTAATGGATGTCCCTTAATCCTGTCACTGAGGCTCTCCACTTCCCTTTCGGCCACAGGGAACATGGTCTCTAAGGGTGCCAGGACTGGCCAACAGCGCCAGCCACAGGACCCCGACTCTCCTACCTCCCTCCAACCCTTCTCCTGGCTGGGATAGGCTGTGCTGAGCCAGGGGCTGGCCTCTCTCTCCTTTTTCCTGCAGTCCTTATCCAGCAGCCCTCAGGCCCAGCCCCCTCGGCCCGCAGAGCTGTCAGACGAAGAGGTGGCTGAGCTCTTTCAGCGGCTGGCAGAGACACAGCAGGAGAAGTGGATGCTAGAAGAGAAGGTGCTGTCTGTCTGCCTGCTCAGCCCCTCTTGAAGTGCTCTGGTGGGCAGTGAGGTGGGGGTCTGGCTGTGCCCTTCGTCGTGGGTGAACATGTATCATTGAGAGGCCTAAGGTGGGCTGGGCCATCTTGCAGGTAAAACATCTGGAGGTGAGCAGCGCCTCCATGGCAGAGGACCTTTGCCGGAAGAGCGCCATTATTGAGACCTATGTCATGGACAGCCGGATTGGTCAGTGCCCCCTCCCCAGCTCTCACCCGCTTCACCTGCCCGCTTCCATTGTTCTACACTGTGGCTTTTCTCCTCTTGGAACTCACCAAAGCTGCTGACAAGACCACAACCCCCGAAGGGGAGAGCAAGGAAGCTCTCTGTCTTTATCTCGCTTCCTCTTCCTCTCTGTGGCTCTGTCCTCTCCATTGTCTAGTGGGTTCCCTGAGCTTTTCCATCTCTTTTATTCCTCCTCCTCTTTCAACCCCCTTTCCTCTTCCTCTCTCCCTCTGTCTTTCCCCTGTGTCTTTTTCCTGCCTCTTTTTTTCACCCTCTCTTGCTATATCCTTCTGTGTATATTTTTGTTCTTTTATCTTCATCCCTTTTGGGGTTCTTATCACTTCTCCCTGGCCTTCTCTTCCTCTCCTACCCATCTCCCACATTATCTTCCCTTTTCTTGCTCTTCTTTTGTGCTTTTCTTTCAAAACCTTCTCCTCTCCCAGATTTTTCTTTATTAATCTGAACAGTACCACTGACATGTGCTGAGGGTCTGCTGTGTGCTGTGTGCTTTGCATCCAGCTGTATGCATTTTTCACCCCTAGGTATTGAGCTAGACATTGTCCCTATTTCTTAGGGTCATATGGCTAGTAAGGGATACAACTGGGTTTCACATGTTGAAGCCTCCACCCCCTACATAACATGGCTTCTCTCCTCCCTCTCCTGCTTTGTTCCCCTCTTTTCTCCTCTGGCTCTGCCGAGGGGGTGGTGCTCAGCCTGGGCCCTTGCAGATGTGTCTGTGGCAGCAGGCCACACAGACCGCAGCGGGCTGGGCAGCGTCCTGAGAGACCTGGTGAAGCCTGGCGATGAGAACCTTCGGGAGATGAACAAGAAGCTGCAGAACATGCTGGAGGAGCAACTGACCAAGAATATGCACTTGCATAAGGCGAGTGTGGCCTACCAGCCTACCCATCTGTCCATGCAGCTACCTTCCTCTCCAGCCACACAGCCTGCGGGTCATCTGCCAGTCCCCCAGCCTTTGTCCACCCAGTCATCCCCCATCTGTTTATCCACCATGTTTTCATGGTTTCATCTTCCAGTCAGCTTATTATTCAGTTTTTCACTCTTCCCTTTGGCCTTGTACCCACTCACTTGTCCATCCATACACGAAGTCACCCAACCATCTACCCATCTGTTTGTCTATCCACCCTATTATATGCCCATCAGATCATCTCCCCCAGGTGCTCCACCCATTTCCTGATCTGCCGTTCTCTCTGTTCATCCGTTACACTTTGTCTTACCTTTCATCCACCCAACCTGTACCCTGTCTACCTGTTGTCCTCCCTCTGTCCTCTGCACAGTTCATGTATGCACCTATTTGCCTGCCATGTCCACCCACACATCTGTTTGCCCACCCCGCTACCCAAATACTCCCCCTTCTCTGGGGGAGTCATAAAGGACTCAGCCCTGGCTCCTGCGTTGGAGAAGCAAGCTCATATTTAGTAGAAGAGAAGGTGGCAAGGGTGACCGTAACAGGTGACCCAACCCATCTCCTTAGCTCCAGAGACTCCTTGTGCATCCTTGAAACTTCTCTGTGCCCAACCCTTTGTTGGGGCTTCTGTGAACTTCTCTGAGTACTTCCTGTCCCAGGCCAGTCCCCGCTGGGCACTGACTAGTGGGCTGAGAAGATTACAGATGGCACCCAGGTTTGGTGAGGGAATTGTCTCTGCCCCCTACTCTGACCCCTGTTGGCTTGTTTGTTTCTTAGGACATGGAAGTTCTGTCCCAGGAAATTGTGCGGCTCAGCAAGGAGTGCGTGGGGTCCCCTGACCCTGACCTAGAGCCAGGAGAAGCCAACTAAAGATCTACAGGCTGCACCCACTCCTTTCCTTTCCCACCCCCCAGGATGCCAGTCCCTTGGGCTGTGGTGGGAGAACGGGCTGATACCAAAACCTAGTAGTTCGGGAGGCTGAACATGGAAGTGGCGAGAGGCCTGGTGGCTGGCGTCAGTGGCCCCGTCTTAGGGCAGAGGCCCTTTGGGGAGTAGGCATCTGAAGGGAAGGGGCAGGGATTTCTTCCTCGTCTCAGCCCTGATTACCAGGGTCTTCTGCCTTCATCTCTGCATGAGCTCTCCCAGAGACCAACTCTTTTTTTATTTTAATTTATGTTTGGAAGCCTGGCTACTCTACATTTGGGATTGGGGATGTTGGGTGGGGGCACGGTCTGTGTTCAGCGTTCAAGCATCATATGTGTGTGTGCGTGTGTGTAAAAGCTGTGCAGCCAAAATACCATCTGGCCAGACAGGCCCACCCACCGACTGTCTGTTCTCATTCTTTTCAATCAAGAGGGATGTGCTGGGGCTGGCGGGGTCACTCCATTGGAATGGGGAGGGAGGTGTTTGTCTGCAACTTTACTCTCCTTCCTCCGCCCTCACTTTAACCTGTCCTGACCAACCTCAAACTGAGCAGAGGAGAAATGTCTGCCAATATGTGTGGGTGGATGTGGGTGTGGATGAGTGGAGAGATGGGAGGATGTATAAGTGGCTGGATGGACGGATGGATAAATAAGTGAAAGGTTTCATGGTCCAATGATGGGTAGGCTGGGAAATGAATGGACATAGGGATGGATAGGTGGTTGGATGAATAAATGGGTAGGTGGATCAGTAAGTGGATGGAGGATGGATAAATGGAGATATAAATGGGTGGATGTATGGATGTGTGGACAAATGAATGGGTAGGTGAATTAGGTTCTTTGGTGGATGGGTGAATTTATGGTAGTAAATTGGTGGATAAATAAGGGAATATATAGATGGATGAGTTAATGGGAAGGGTAAAGAGTAGGGATGTAAATGGTAGGTGGAGGGATGCAGTGATGGACAGATAGATGAGTGGAGGACATTGATACCTATGGATAGGCTGGGGAATGGTTACGTGGATGGGCTGAACATAGAAATGGATGAGTGAGTGGCAGATAGATTAATGACCAAATGGACAGAGGGTGGGTGGAAGGATGGGAGAGTGGTGGGTTCTGTAGGCAGGAGAAGGTGGGGGTGGGTGGAGAGGTGGAGCGATGGACAGGTCAGGAGTGTGATGAATGAGCAAGTGGAGGAGCTCATGGGTAGGTAGATGAATTGAAAGGCTGGACCTGGTCCTGTGTTACTGCACCCCTTTGTCTTGCCTTTCATCCACTCACCTGGGGTGGATCACCACACACCTGAATGTACTTAAGTTTAGACATTCTCTGTGTGCCAGGCCCTGTGCCATCCCCTTCACATCACTTCATTTATTCTCCAAATGATGCTGTCGGGTTGGGATAATTCTCCAACTGAGGAAACAGTACAAGTCACTTGCTCAAGGACACAAGTCAGTGACAAAGCTGGTGTTTGAACTGACACATGCCTGCCAGAGGCACTCCAATAGTCCGTCCATGTGCCTGCCACCCAGGAGGAGAGCCCTCTAGGGGAGGAGGTGTGACTTGTCCCTTGGAGATGGACGGATGAAGGAGCCTGTCCCCCTGGCATGGGAATTGCCTGGGTAGGGTGTGGGCCGAAGTTATCCCCATCCGCACCTCCTTTGCTCCTCACCTCGCTTGCAAAATCAGTAGAAGTCAAGCTCCAGTCCCACAGCAGGTCGTTGTTAAACTGGGCTTTAACCTATATTGCCCCCCCCCAGGGGGCGGCTTTGAAGACCTGGTTAACTATAGAAACAGCCCACACAACCAATAACTGCCCCCAACCCAGCTTCTGCCCTCCACAGCCCTGGGGTGGGGGGGAGGGAGGGGACAGCGCTGCATCATTCCCCATGGCACTCCGCTCTGGGGCCATTAACAGACGCCTCTCCATCGATCGGATCTGCTAAGTGCTGCTGATTCAGGCAGGTGGGGGTGGGGGCCCCTGGGGCCAGAGGGGGTAGGAGCTGGGCAGGAAGAGGGGGGAGTCCAGGAAGGAGGTGGGGAGAACTGGCAATGCTCCCTGCCACCCCCATTTTCCAGATGACGCGACTGAGGCCCAACCAGCTCTGTAGGAGGCGGAGTCTCCCCAGGGTCCCTCTCAGGCTCTCCTAGGGGAGGGGGCTCTGGGAGCTACGAGGCCCCTCCCAGCCTCCATCTCCCGGCAAGCACGGAGGGGCGGGGAGAGAGAGCAGGAGGAGGAGGAGAACTCCAGCAGCACTGCAGAGGGGTCAGGCAGCTCTGCTCCGGTGTACCCCCAGCCCCACCGCTGCTGCTGCTGCTGCTGCTGCTGCTGCAGTGGGGACACAGGTGAGGACGGCCCTATGGGGAAGGGGAGGGGGCCACCAATAGCGCTGTCCTTGTCCTTTCTTGGTCTAGCCCCCATGCCCTAGCCCATCCTGGGACAGTCCCACTGGACCTTGTCCTTCCAGGGACCCAGCCCCCTCCCTCTGCCCGTGCCACCTCCCCTCCTAGGCCTGGCTGTGGCTGCTGCTTTTCCTCCTACCGCTGCCGCTGCTGCTGCTGCTGCTGCTGCCGCCCAACACACATCGCCAGCCCTTGGGGTATGTTTTCCCCAGACCTGCCCCCGTCGGTGGGACCCAGCCTTCTCCCGCCCTACCTTCTCCCGGCCTCCCCCACCAGCCTTCTGCTCAGCCCAGCAGCCCCCTTCCTGAAGACACACCCAACTCCCTTCCAGAACCCCACCCCCTCCAGCCCATTTGTTGGAGAACCTCTTTCCTCTTAGTCTTTTGAGATTGCCTGGGTGCTCAAGGCCTGTGCTCAACTTTGGTCCAGTTAAGTCCTATCCTTTTGGGATTCCCCAGGCCCCTTTTTCCTTCCCCCTAGAACTCTTTAGAGAGTGAATCAAGCATCCTCAGTCCCTCCAGATCCTCCCAGATATTTCCTACCCTCTTCAGAAATAACCCAGCCCCATGTCTACCCTTTTAACCAACCCACTCCCCTCTTCATCTTACTAGGGGCCCTTACCTCTCCCACTTTGCCCAGAACTCCTCTAGAGCACAGACAACACCCCCAGGCTGTTCTCGCAGCTCTAGGTGCTCCCAACACACTTTTCAGCCACTTTATAACCTCCTGGCTTTATAGTCACCCTTGAGATGCACCAACCCCTGTTTCAGATCCATGAGGGACTTTCAACCCCCTTGTCTTTTCCCCAGAAGTCTTGAAAGTGTGGGTAACCCTCCTCCCTGTTCCCAGCCTGTCTAGAGCCTACCCCTGCCTCTTTCAAGTATCTGTACTCCTCTGGAGGCCCCAGTCTCCTCTCCAGCCCTACTAAGGGATTCTAGCCCTTTCTCCCTTCCCTGAGAACTCAAAAGTGTAGACAATGCCCCCCACCTCAGTTTCTTCATCCCTCTAAATCCCTGGGCATCTTCAGGCGCATGCTGACTACTGTAGAATCATCTGTCTCTAAACCCGAGGATCTCTGCTGGCCCCTGTGGCTGCAGCCCTTTCTCAGGATACCACCCAGGGCCCTTTTTTTCTTTTCTTTTCTTTTCTTTCTTTCTTTCTTTCTTTCTTTCTTTCTTTCTTTCTTTTTGTCTTTTTGAGACAGGGTTTCACTATGTAGTTTAGGCTGGCCTCAAACTTGCAGCAATCCTCCTGCCTCAGCCTCCCAAGTGCTGGGATTACAGATGTGTGCCACCACACCTGGCCCAGGCCCCACTTAGACCCTCTTAATGCCCCCAAAGCTCTTGCCCATCTCTCTAGTTCCTCCTCCTGGTTCCTCTTGGCCTCTCTAGACACCCCCAATTTCCTTGTCCGGGTGGCCCAGGGCCTCTCCAAGTCCCCACCATCCTGGAGACAGCTACATTCTCCTAAACACCAATCCCCCAGTCTCCGTGGGCCTGGGGAGCCGCAGGATGGCGGCAGGCGTGGCCACATGGCTACCCTTTGCACGGGCGGCTGCGGTGGGCTGGCTGCCCCTGGCCCAACAGCCCCTGCCCCCGGCGCCAGGGGTGAAGGCATCTCGAGGCGATGAAGTTCTGGTGGTGAATGTGAGTGGCCGGCGCTTTGAGACCTGGAAGAACACACTAGATCGCTACCCAGACACCCTGCTGGGCAGTTCGGAGAAGGAGTTCTTCTATGACGCTGACTCGGGCGAGTACTTTTTTGATCGCGACCCGGACATGTTCCGGCACGTGCTGAACTTCTACCGCACGGGCCGACTGCACTGCCCGCGGCAGGAGTGCATCCAGGCCTTTGATGAGGAGCTGGCCTTCTACGGCCTGGTGCCCGAGCTCGTGGGCGACTGCTGCCTTGAAGAGTACCGGGACCGCAAGAAAGAGAACGCTGAGCGCCTGGCGGAGGACGAGGAGGCTGAACAGACGGGGGATGGCCCGACTCTTCCCGGGGGCAGCTCCCTGCGCCAGCGGCTTTGGCGGGCCTTTGAGAACCCACACACAAGCACTGCGGCCCTGGTTTTCTACTATGTGACGGGCTTTTTCATCGCCGTGTCGGTCATCGCCAACGTGGTAGAGACCATCCCGTGCCGCAGCTCTTCACGGCGGCTGTCGAGGGAGCAGTCTTGTGGTGACCGCTTCCCGACGGCCTTCTTCTGCATGGACACGGCCTGTGTACTCATATTCACGGGAGAATATCTCCTGCGGCTCTTTGCTGCCCCCAGCCGTTGCCGCTTCCTACGGAGCGTCATGAGCCTCATCGACGTGGTGGCGATCCTTCCCTACTACATTGGGCTTTTTGTGCCCAAGAACGATGATGTCTCGGGTGCCTTTGTCACCTTGCGTGTGTTCCGGGTCTTCCGCATCTTCAAGTTCTCCAGGCACTCTCAGGGCTTGAGGATTTTAGGCTATACCCTCAAGAGCTGTGCCTCTGAGCTGGGCTTTCTTCTCTTTTCCCTCACCATGGCCATCATCATCTTTGCCACTGTCATGTTCTATGCTGAGAAGGGCACCAGCAAGACTAACTTTACGAGCATCCCTGCCGCCTTCTGGTACACCATTGTCACCATGACCACACTTGGGTGAGTGCAGAGCCTATGCTGGAGACTGCAAGATCATCAATTACACTTACTCTTTCTGTAAAATTAGGAAGTGTAGATGAATGATCTCTTTACAAGCCCCTGCCCCCTTTTTGTGATGGGGGTCTCACTATATAGTTTAGGCTGGTTTTGAACTCACTATGTAGCCCAGGCTGGCTTTGAACTTTCTGCGATCCTCCTGCTTCAGCCTCCCGAATGCTGGAATTACAGGTGTGTGCCACCATGCCTGGCTTTTTTGTTTGTTTGTTTCTCTGTGGTACTGAGGATTGAACCCAGGGCCTTGCACATGCTGAGCACACACTGTATCATGGTCCTTTTTTTTTTTTTTCCATGGTCTTTTTGAGTTTTGGTTTGGTCACCTGTAAAAACGGAGAGATTGGGCTTAATTTTCAAATTCTTCCCAGCTCTAAATTTACCTCTATTTTCCAGGTCAGGAAACCTGGGCTCAAGGATGTCGTGGCTGCTGTCTTTGTGTTGACATTTTCTCAGGGCCTCAGTTTTCCCCTCTGTAAAATGGGAAATGATCCCTTCATCATCTAGATAGGATTCAATGGCATCATGGTTGTGAAAGTTCTCTGAAAGTTTCTAGTGTGAAATACATAGGTACTGACTTCCTGTCACCCCTTTTCCTTTCTGAGGACCTATGTCTCCAAACCTTGTAGAATTCCCTGCATGTGGGGCACTACCTCTGTTACTCTGTGATTCCTTGACGCTTCCCAGAAGATATTTTTCAGCATTATTATTTTTTTTTACTGCCAATCCCTAAAAAGAAACAGAGTTGGGCCAAAAGTATCAAATGAAATCATCAAACTCATGATTTTTGGGGGCTGCTGGGGATGGAACCTAGGCTCTACCACTGAGCTACACTGCACACTCAGGGCCTTCCCATGAGCTACAGCCCAGCTCTTCTTTATTTTTCATTTTGAGAAAGGTTTCACTAAATTGCCCAGGCTTCACTTGAACTTGTAATCTTCCTGCCTCAGCCTCCCTGAGTGCCGGGATGACAGGTATATCCCACCACACCCAACTATGTTGTTAAGCCATTATCTAGTTGGGTATGGTAGTGGATGTCTGTAATCCCAGCACTCGGGAGGCTGAGGCAGGAAGATTGCTGTGAGTCTGAGGCTAGTCTGCGCTACACAGTGAGTTCATGGCTAGCCTGAACTACAAAGCGAGACCTTGTCTCAACAAAACAAAACAAAACACAAAAAAAACAGGAAAAAAAAAGGCATTGTCTATGGCAGATGCTGTTATCCTTCTCTAAGTCACTGTCACTGGAATTAAGCAGAATATGCTATCGGTACTCAGTAGCTTTTATGTGAATGACTGAACGAATTGGCCTTGCTCACTGCCTTACCAGAGGTAGAGAAAAATTGATTTGGGGTTTCTGAGGAATAGAAATTAATTTTGGTTGGAGGTTCAGGATTAGATTGACAAACAAATATCGAGGCCCAACAGTAAATTGGCACTGGGCATTCTGATGCCTTTTACCCTGCTCGGCCCTCACAACAACCCTGTGAGTTATGGACGGCTGCCCGTGTCTCATAGCTGAAACCCAATCTGAGATGACACATCAGAAACCCCGAAATGGACAAGTTGGAGAGACTTTGGAGCAGAGTCCTCAATACTTAAAATCAGTCAAAATAGAAATAAGGAAGAGCCGTCCTAGGGCACAGCCTGAGCAAAGGGCTGGAAGCTGAAGACTGCAGAGGCTGCGTTTGCGCGGAGGAGATCTGATTGATCCCATGGTTAGAGCAAAAGTGTGCCGTGTGACCCTGGCTAAGCCAACTGTGGAACCTCTGTTTCCCCGCTTTGAGAACAAAGTCAGTAAGGTTGGCTTTGTGCCATCTCCACGGGGAGAAGGCTGTCATGGAGGAAGGCAGAGAGTTTCAAGGATCCTCTTTATTTTTCATATGAGGACAGTTTCAAGGCTTCGCTTGGGGGGAATCAGGGGTTTTACCTGGAAAACAGGCAGGCGAAACCAGCAGAACACTACCCCTGGAAGGCAGAGCCCCTCGGCTGGCCTTCTTTCCAGGAACCTGTATTTACTGCCTAGGACTTCCTCCTTCTCCCCTCTGGTGGGTATTAATAGATTCCCAGCTGACTCAGATCCCCCGTGCTTAGCTCAGATGGGGGAAACAGATGGGAGAGGTTCCTGAAGGCCAACCCCATTTCTCATCCGCCTCCCACTGCTGACCAGGGGAGGTCACTGCTGAGGTCACTCTCATTGTGCAGAGCTGGAAACTGAGGCTGAGAGGCCGAGTGCCTGCCCAGGATCACAGAGCGAGTTGGGGTTGGCTGGGATGGGGTGGGGCCTGAGAGGCGGGTGGGCACTTTTCCTGACTGTGGCCTACCTCCCCCATGCCCAAGCTATGGTGACATGGTGCCCAGCACCATTGCTGGCAAGATTTTCGGGTCCATCTGCTCACTCAGTGGCGTCTTGGTCATTGCCCTGCCTGTGCCAGTCATCGTGTCCAACTTTAGCCGCATCTACCACCAGAACCAGCGTGCTGACAAGCGCCGAGCACAGCAGGTAAAGCATCTTCCCTCCGAGCACGTCTCATTATTCAGACTCAGGGCTGGGTTCCTCTTGGGCTGTCTCCCCTGACCCTCTGCCTCCTCCTTTCTCTGTAGAAGGTGCGCTTGGCAAGGATCCGGTTGGCAAAGAGTGGAACCACCAACGCCTTCCTGCAGTACAAGCAGAATGGGGGGCTAGAGGTGGGTAGTGGCTTGGATTGGGGTTTGGGGTGATCGGGGATATGGGGAGGAAGGTGTTGATCTTTTCCTTCTGTTCCCTTTGCTCCAGGACAGCAGCAGTGGGGAGGGACAGGCGCTGTGTGTCAGGAACCGTTCCGCTTTTGAGCAGCAACATCACCATTTGCTGCACTGTCTAGAGAAGACAACGGTGAGGTCTCACAAGAAACGGCATGACAGGAAGGAGGGGTTCCCTCTGCTGCCAAGCCAGCCCCTCCCTAGGACAGGAGGCTTGCTCCTAATTATGAAAACTGGCATGACATGATGGCTCATATCTATAATCCCAACCGCTTCGGAGGCTGAGGCAGGAGGATTGCAAATTCCAGGACATCCTTGTCAAGTTAGCAAGACCTTAAAAAAAAGATGGGATGTACTTAGTAGGAGGGTGTCTGCTTAGCATGCTCAAGGCCCTGAGCTCAACGCTCAGTACTGCAAACAAAATTTAGAAAACTGCAGACATCACGTGGGACTTCCTGGAAGAGGCTGGGCCTTGAAGAATGGACAAGAGAAGGGAAAGGAAGAAAAGGGCAGGTAGAGCAACTCATAGAAAGGAGCAGCCTGAGCAAAGGCCTGGGGGTGGGATCAGAGCCCATGGAGTACCCTTGACCTTGCCTCTCTTCTGCCCACAGTGCCATGAATTCACAGATGAACTAACCTTCAGTGAAGCCCTGGGAGCTGTCTCACTGGGTGGCCGCACCAGCCGCAGCACCTCTGTGTCTTCTCAGCCGCTAGGGCCTGGCAACCTGCTATCATCTTGCTGCCCTCGCAGGACCAAGCGCCGTGCCATCCGGCTTGCCAACTCCACTGCCTCTGTCAGCCGTGGCAGTATGCAGGAGCTGGACATGCTGGCGGGGCTGCGGAGGAGCCCTGCCCCTCAGAGGTATGCACCCGTCCCTCCTGCTGGCCACAGCTGGGGAAGTGCAGAGCTTGGACTGGGGTGTCTGAGATTTCAAGAGTCCAGGCCTAGCAAGCCAAGCTCAAGCTCAAACTCCTTGCAGGAGCTTGGGTTTACTGTGTCTGGAGCTCTCCGTGTGTGTGTGTGTGTGTGTGTGTGTGTGTGTGTGTGTGTCTGTGTGTGTGTCTGTGTGTGGTACTGGGGATTCAACTCAGGGCCTTCACACTGTGCTACATCCCTAGCCCATTTAATTCTTTTTTTTTATTTTGACACAAGGTATTGCTACGTCACTAAGTTGCCCAGAGTGGGCTTGAAGAGTGCTAGGATTACAGAAACATACCACTATACTTTGTTCTCATTCTTCATTTGTTCTTTCAAACATTGAACAACCTGTGGGGCGTGGTGGCACACGCCTGTAATCCCAGCACTCTGGAGACTGAGGCGGGAGGATCGTTGCAAGTTCGAGACCAGCCTGGGCTACAAAGTGAGCTCAAGGCCAGCCTGAAGTGCACAGCAAGACCCTGTCTCAAAATGACAAGAAAAAATTTGAACAACCAGAAATAGTGGTGGCTTATGCCTGTAACTATAGCTGCTTAAGGGACTATGGCAGAAGGATTACTTGAGCCCAAATGTTGGAGACCAGCCTGTTTCTAAGAAAAAATTATTTAGTTATTTATTTTTTTGTCTTTTTGAGACAGGGTCTCACTATGCAGTTCAGGCTGGCCTTGAGCCTACTTTGTAGCCCAGGCTGGTCTCGAACTCACAACGATCCTCCTGCCTCAGCCTCCTGGGTGCTGGGATTACAGGCATGTGCCACCATGCCTGGCTTTAAGAAAAAAATTATTGATCACCTACTGTATGCCAGGCACAGTTTTAGGCCCTCGGGATATAGCAGTAACAGAATATACAGAAATCCCTGTTCTGTGTTTCGGGCTTATCTCAGTGGTAGAGCACTTGGCTAACATTTATGAGGCCCTGAGTTCTATTCCTAGTACCGAGAGAGAGAGAGAGAGAGAGAGAGAGAGAGAGAGAGAGAGAGAGAGAGAGAGAGAAAGAGAAATCCCTGTCCTGAAACTTAAGAGTCTATGGGATGAGAATATTATCAAACAAACAAATACACAGGTATCAACATTTGGATTTTTTTGTTTGTTTATAGTTCTGAGGATTGAACCCAGGGCCTTCACAGTGAGTTACATCCCCAGTTCTTTTTTATTTTGATACAGGCTATTTCTAAGTTACAAGTTACTCAGGCTGGGCTTAAAATTGCAATCGTGCTAATATTCTAAGTAGGCATCAATCACCTTGCGGTGGGGGACCAAACCTCCTTACCCACCCCTTCCAGGAATGTCCTTGTCTGTCCTATGTGTGCTTACATGTGACTTGTTTCCCCATTTGATCTCCATTTAATCAGTATTACCCTAGTGGCTATACTTGTATACTTACTGGTTGACCAGTTTTGTCCCTCTCACACCCATCCTATGATTTGCCATTGGGTCAATATTACCTAAGTGACTATATTTGTAATTTTATTAACTGGTTATAATCCTGTCCCACCTTAAGCCTGCCTCACCTTGTGGCTTTGCTCAATAAAACACCCTTGAGAAGTGAGGTTGGTGGGCAACCCACTTTCCGGGCCCCCTTCTGTTCCTCTTAAACAGAAGCTTTCTTTCTCTCAATAAATTTTTCCTACTTCCAAAAAAATTGCAATCGTCCTGCCTCAGCCTCCCAGAGTACTGGCTTTATAGGAATGTACCTCCATACCTGGCTTATGTCAAACATTTGTAAGCACTAAAAAGAAAAATAAATCTAGGATGATAGCCAGAGAGTGCAGAGCCAGGATTGATGCTGGGTATTTTTGTTTTGTTTTGTTTTGTTTTCTTGGTATCAGAAATTGAACTCAGAACCTTGCGCTTGCCAAGCAAGTGCTGTGCCACTGAGCTATATCCCTAGCCCTGATGCTGGTTTTTAATTTTTTTTAATTTTTTTTTCGTCTTTTTGAGATAGGGTCTCACTATGCAGTTCGGGCTGGCCTTGAGCTCGCTTTGTAGCCCAGGCTGGTCTTGAACTCATAAGGATCCTCTTGCCTCAGGCACCTGAGTGCTGGGACTACAGGTGTGTGCCACCATACCCAGCTTGATGCTGTTTTTTTTTTTTTAAAAATACTTTTTTATAGTACTAGGGATGGAACCCTGGGTGTTATACATGCTAGGCAAGTGCTCTGCCACTGAGCCATACCCTCACCTTGATGCAATTTTATTTTATTTATTTACCTCTTTTTTTGAACCAGGAATTGCACTCAGGACCTTGTACTTGCCAGTCAGGCGCCATGCTGCTGAGCTATATCCCTGGCCCAGGAATTTTATTTTTTATTTTTTGGTACTGGGGGTTGAACCCAGGGCGTTTGCACTGAGCTACATCCCTAGCCCTTTTTTATGTTTTATTTTGAGATAGCGTCTGTCTGAGTCACTAAATTGCTCTGGCTGAGCTCGCATGTATGATCCTCTGGCTCAGCCTCCCAGAGTGCTGGGATTATAGGTGTGCGTCACCACGCCCGGCTATGATGCAATTTTAATGGTGTGGTCAAGAAAGGCTTTACTGAGATCTGAAGTGAAGTCTGAAAGGGGCGAGGTAGCAAGCCATGCAGATAACTACAGAAAGAGTTTTCTATGCAGAGTGAAGCGCTTGTGTGAATGCTATGAGGCCACTCTCCGTGGAAGAACTACAGAGGAAGCGACAGTGGGTGAAGTGGAGTGAACAAGGGCCAGAGTGCTAGGCTGGAGAGTCAGAAAGGAGTGCGGGCATGGCTTTGTAGACCCTAGTACACACTACTGAAAGGACTGTGCACTCGTAGGAGTAACCGTAGGAAAAGCTCCTGTGTGAGCTGAGGGTAGGCCTAGTTGTAGAGCATACACTTAACATTTAGGAGGCCCTGGGTTCAATCGCCAGCACCAAAAACAAAATACTAAAACACCAAAACCTCGTGTGTGTGTGTGTGTGTGGGTGTGTTTGTGTGTGTATGTGTGTGTACTCATTATGTCCAAGGTACTGCTTCAAGCTCTTTGTATTACTTATTATCTCATTTAATAACAACAATTCTATGAGGTAGGGAATATTGTTATTCTTGTGCTACAGATATGAGAGGCTGCATGTGGTAAAAGTAGGACCAGGATTTGAACCCAGGACTAGTTGACTCTGGAGCCCTTACTCTCCACCACCATTGAAGATGCAAGGGGAACAGTTAGCACACTTCCACTGACCCAGTAGGCACTCAGTAAAGGCCAGGAGTGCTATGAGAAGTAACAAGACGATCTCTTAAGAGTCTTCCATCTTCCCTATCCCTGTCCACAGCCGCTCAAGCCTCAATGCCAAGCCCCATGACAGCCTTGACCTGAACTGTGACAGCCGGGACTTCGTGGCCGCCATTATCAGTATTCCTACCCCTCCTGCCAACACACCAGATGAGAGCCAACCATCCTCTCCTGGTGGCGGCGGCAGCAGTGGTGGCAGGGCCAGCAGCGCCCTCAGGAACTCCAGCCTGGGCACCCCCTGCCTCCTCCCCGAGACTGTCAAGATCTCTTCCCTGTGAGGGCAGACCTCCCCGCTCAGAAGGCCCTCCTCATTCTTGGGTACTCCTTTCCAAAGCCATATTTTGAGGAGACAGAGAGGGGCAGGCTTGGAGACTCCTCTGCCCTCTGCCAAGAACTATGCAATGGAGTTTTCTGAAATGATCCGCTTGGGGGGAAAGTAGTCAGGGGGTGGGAAACTGCCCCCCTAGACAGGCGTCCTGGTGGGAGCGGAAACACTAGGCTTCCACAGACCCCTGGCTTCCTTGTCCCAGCATCCTGGGACTGGCCCCTCCCCCAGCTGGCCCCCTGCATGCTCTCTCCCCCAGGCCCTCGGAAGTAGGTGAAGCTCCCCGCTGACGTCTGAGTTCTGGCTGATGAGGAGAGTTGAGATTTCCTACTCTCTCTGGCAGGGTTATGGGAGTTTGGAGGTTTAGGAAAGGGAACCCTCCCCTCTGATCTGGCCTCTAGGAGAGGTACTCCCTCCCACCCCAGGCCCAGCAATTCCTAGATTCCGAAGCTTGAAATGCAACCATGGGCTTCATGGGCTGTGGGCTCAGCAGTGACCTGCCACCCCCAGGTCTAGGCCAAGGAGTCAGGCTGCCTCTCCCAACACACGGATAGCACAAACACCACCACCTCCTTCCCTGGCTGCTGGAAATGGGTCCCTACCACGCTGTCCTCTGCTGGGTCCCCAGCAAATTCTAGCAATAGCAGCTACTGCCATGACAATATATAAAGCCTCTGACCAGTTTGCTGCAGCATTTAATCTGCCCTGATCAGATGGGCCACCTCTCACTACTCTCTTCTCTGATTTGCTTCCTTTCTGGGCTGGGCTGGAGTCCGGACTGGTTGAGATAAGAACCCGGCAGCCTGAAGAGCAGGGCTGAGTTTGGAGGTCATGGGCCAATTCCATGTTCTTGGGCAGGAGTCAGTCGAGAAGTATCAGGGACCAAAGCCTGGGTTGTTCCTGAACTCTGGGAGGATCAAGAGGCAGAAGGAACTTCTTGATCACTTTCTCCTCCTCTACAGCTTTTCACATATTCTCCTCTTTGCTCTCTTGGGTCACCTTCCAGAACTCTGCTCTCAGGCTGAAATCTGGCATCTCAGGCTCCCTGACAAAGATGTAGTTTCCATCCGTGAATAAAACCTGAGAGAAGAGATGAGGACTGAGTACCTCCTGACTGTGTGGGCTTGGGGCTTGGGCTTGGCCGGGGGTTTGAGGACACTTTGATTTCAACTATGGTAGAGCTACGGTGGACAAAGGGCCAGTCATATTTTGAGGAGGTACAGAGGGGCAGGTGCGGGGAGCTGGATGGTTGGCGATGTATTCTGGAAGATGAGGACCTAGGAGGAATGACAGCTCGAAAGAGCTTGAATCTATCCAGCAAGTCAGGCCAGGGACCCTCAGACTTACCCTTTGACAGCATCTGCTCCAGCTCTTTCATTCACAGATGGGGAAACCAAGATTCAAAGCAGGACATAGTTTTAGTTGGCTTATTTTTGTGATGGGGTCTCTCTATGTTGCCCAGGCTGGTCTCAAACTCCTGGGCTCAGGGGATCCTTCTGCTTCAGCCTTGCAAAAGAACTACAGGCACATACCACCATGCCTGGCCATGTAGTTAGAAGATAACTTAAAATCAGGCTTCCTGACAGCGAACAACTCTAGGTTTAACCCCAATAAAAGCATCTCTCAGTTTGATAAATTCCCCTTCCTTCTGGACATTTCTAACATTCTCTCTTCTGGGCTACTGGCTACACTTGGCTTGTGTGTGACTGCGCTCTGTAGAGGAACAAGAAAGACTGTGGATTCAGGTTAACCTGTTATAATCTCTGGTGAAAGAATCACTTATTTTCTCTTGCATCAGGTTGCTGATCTGTGAGATGGAGGCAATAATTCATTTATTCATCAAATATTTACTAACTTCCCATCATTGACCTTGTCTCTGATGCACAGAGCTGAGCACAAAAAGCAGACAATTAAGCAATTACAACATAGTGTGGTAGAACAAAGATCGATGCATCACTGAAACATGTAGATGGCAGGGAACCTAATCTGGCCGACACACCAGGAAGGAGCTGGAGTTAGCCAGTGAGAAGACAAGAGGCTGAAAATGTGAAAATGAACAGAGAGGGAACAACATGTCCACTGACCAGGAGGTTAGAGAGCAGGCTCAGGGCCTTTGGGAACTGAAAGTAGTTCAGTTGGGCTGGGGAGGGGAGTGAGGCTATGAGGACAGGAAGGAAGGAAAAGCAACAGCCAGATCACAAACGACCTTGGCAGTTGTGAGGCAGAGTTGGGAGTTTGTCCTAAGAATAATGGACTTCTGAAGATTAGAAGCAGAAAAGTCATGATGAGGGTGTTTCACAAGGGTCATTCTGGCTGCAGAGTGGATTACAAGCAGTCTTGGGTGAAGAGCAGTGAAGAGGCTTCTGAAATCCTGTTGCTAGAGAAGAGTGGCTTGGATGAGAGTGACGGCAGCAGAATTGGGAGGGTCAAGAGATTTGCGAGAGCTGGAGTCCATGGCGCATGCCTGTAATCCCAACGCTTGGGAAGCTGAGGGAGGAAGATTACATATTTGAGTCTTGCCTGGGCAATTTAACAGGAGCTTGTCTCAAAAGTGAAAAGGGCTGGGCATGTAATCCAATGCAAAGGCCCTTTAGTCCCAAGTGTGTGTGTGTGGAGGGGGGGGGGTAGAGATTTATTTATTTATTTATTTTTGTCTTTCTGAGACAAGGTTTCACTATGCAGTTCAGGCTGGCCCCGAACTCACAACGATTCTCCTGCCTCAGCCTCCCAAGTGCTGGGATTACAGGTGTGCACCACCACATCCACTGGGTGGGGGGAATGAGATTTAAGAGGTAGGTGGCAGGATCTGAGACTGACAAGCTTGTGGAAGTCGGAGAAGAGAGAGCAGTCAAGGCTGGCTCCCAGGTTTCTGGTTTAGGCCATGGATAGCTGGGGATGCTGTTCACTGTTAGTGGGAGCATCAAAGCTGGGCGTGGCAGAGCACACCTGTAAGGCCGGCTTTTGGGAGGCTGAGGCATGAGGATCACTTCCAGTTTGAAGCATCTGAAGGGAGACGATCAGGCAGCATTCAAATACTTTCTAATGGCCTTTTTCAGTCAACCTGGTGTATGGCGTGGAGCCAAAGAATGGCAGGAAGCCCTCACCTCTCCTCTCGAAGTGCTTTCTTTGTTTCCAAGCTCATCAGAACTCTATAACAATCCCCTGAGAGAATATGGACAGACAGGAGCCTTTTTACACATGGGTAATTTCAAAAGGTACACAATTATTCGCACAAGGTAATAAGGTTCCATCTGTGCCTGGAAATGAGGTTTTCCTGACTCCAAAGCCGGGGTTCCTTCCATTGCACCACTATGCAGACTAATTTATTGAGCACTTCCTATGCCATGCATAGCACCAAGCTATTTACGGCCATTAATCCCTGATCTTCACATTTGTATTATTGCCATTTTACAGAGTAGCACAAAATGAGGATGGAATGGGTATTAAATGACTTGCCAAAGATCACTCAGACAAGAAAGGCAAAACTCAGATCAGTTAGTAATGCTCCCGCCGTTCAACAGCAAGGATCTTGCCAACCTGGTGACAGAATAAAAGATCGCTCGACCTAAGCAAACTCGGTTTTAAAAAAAAATTAAAAAGGTTGTGCTGCGCCTGCGCTGTACCCATAGGGGTAGCAGGTCAACTCGAGGACGAGAGGGTGGAGGTGCCAGAGAAGGCGTGCCTGTTTCCCAAACTCCCACTTTCCCCACGGCGAGCACCTGTCCCAGGATTGGCCCGTCTGATTTGAATGACGGCATCTTTTAACCAACTATCGCAGAACCCAGCTAGTTGCCAGGGTGAAGCAGTGCCCGCCTGTCCAGCGGAAGGGTATTTGCCGGTGGGTGGGACCGGAACTGACGCTGCAGGTGAATGCAACGCTTTGGGAGTGTTGCTATTTTCCAGTCAGTCCGGTTGACTGCGTTCAAGTTGGGAGCCCGGAGGAAAAGCGTCCTAACCGTGCGCAAGACAGGCTACGCTGTATTTTCGCTCTACCCACACTCGCGAGTCTGAACCTCAGCCAGAGAAGTGAAGAACAGAACAAGACGGAGAAGAAAGACTGGGAACTAGAGCGCCGACTGTGATATTTGAGACGGAGGGCACGTAAGGGCGAGCGCTCGCCTCTGATTGGCCTGTGGGCGTCATCGGAAACCTACACAATTTCTTCGATTGGCTGTTGTTCGCAATTGTTGTGGCGGCGGCGGGGATTTTGCCCACGTACTTCCGAGCGAGGGGCGGGGCTGTGCCCTGGCGCGCTTGCGCAGCGCCCTGGGGCCCCACCCGGTAGTTCAGAACCTGCGAAGGGGCGGAGCGAAGAGGTGCTTGTTTTGGTTCTGTTTCCATTGAAGCAGAAGGCTGGAATGAGATACCAATAAACTTGCTGGACTTACAGAGAAGCCTACGACAAACTTGCGGTGCCTTCATATTGGACTTTACATCTGGCTCTTCCTCCGGGTGGAACCTGCATACGTCCGAGAGTTCTAGAACCGGTGCTGCGATTCCTTTATCCGGGTCTCGCTGTTCCCGTCGTGCTTCGCGCACTCCTAGAACCCCCCCCCCCATCCGGGTTCTCTCCCGGCGTGCCTAGCGACGGGTTTGCTGGGGGGCGCTCGGCAGTGCCGCCATGACTATTCTCCCAAAGAAGAAGCCGCCGCCTCCCGATGCCGACCCCACCAACGAGCCACCACCGCCCGGGCCTCTGCCCCCAGCGCCACGGCGCGGCGGGGGTGTGGGCGTGGGCGGCGGCGGCACGGGCGTGGGCGGGGGAGAGCGCGATCGTGACTCGGGCGTCGTAGGGGCCCGTCCCCGAGCTTCACCACCACCCCAGGGCCCGCTACCAGGGCCGCCGGGCGCTCTTCACCGCTGGGCCCTGGCTGTGCCGCCTGGAGCAGTGGCAGGCCCTCGGTCACAGCAGGCCTCTCCTCCTCCTTGCGGGGGCCCCGGTGGTCCCGGCGGCGGTCCTGGCGACGCGCTGGGTGGAGCGGCGGCGGGGGTGGGCGCGGCGGGCGTGGTGGTGGGCGTGGGAGGTGCCGTGGGTGTGGGCGGCTGCTGCTCCGGTCCGGGGCATAGTAAGCGGAGGCGCCAAGCTCCCGGAGTTGGTGCAGTTGGCGGGGCCAGCCCAGAGCGTGAGGAGGTCGGTGCAGGCTACAACAGTGAAGATGAATACGAAGCAGCTGCGGCACGCATTGAGGCCATGGACCCTGCGACTGTCGAGCAGGTAAGGGCAGGAAAGTAATGATTTGGCAGGTATGACAAATGGGAACCCCCCCTCCAGGCTAAGGAGGGACCCCACAAATGCTGTTTGCACCAAGGGACTTAGGCCCTGTTCTGGGGGCTGATGATCTCCGGTGGGAGAGGCATTACACACCTTGTTTTCTTTCACCCAAAACTTGGGATTAGAGGTTCTAGATAAAGTGATAGGCTTAAAGATGGAGTCTGAGGCCTCTTTTAGGGCCGAGACCTCATATATAAAAACTTGGAATTCCCCTGGTGGCACAGGCAGGATGGAGCCCTTCCTGAGTGGGAGATCTCGAGAGTCTCAGGTCTCTCCGAGGGACTTAGGTATGTCTTCAGTGGCTTGAGAGCTCTTTTGCTCTTTTTTTCAGGAGTAAGAGTCCTAAGATTTCCTTTCCAGGGAACTCAAGGTGGTGACTTCAGCGATGGGCCCTGAGCATCCCCAAAGAACCCAAACCCTTCTAGGAGTCGAAGATATTCTGCATATATAGGGTGACCCTGCTCTCTTCTGCAGGATGACAGGACCACTCAGCAGTGCAGCCTCAGAGTTCTCAAGCCTGCCTTCAGGGGCCTGACACTCCCTCTTAGAATTGAGGGTTTCTCACACATGCTTTAGAGAGGAGAGTTTCCTGAGCTTCCCTCCAGGGATAGAAGCTGTCTTTTGGGGAGATAAGATTATCTCCCCCTTGGGGACAAGTGTCAAAACCAGTACTCAGGGACTAGAGATTACCTGGGTACTTGATAATCATCTTCTGGGCCGAGTGTGGTGGCGCATGCCTGTAATCACAGCACTGGGGAGGCTGAGGCAGGAGGATCGATGAGAGTTCGAGACCAGCCTGGGCTACAAAGTGAGCTCAAGGCCAGCTTGAACTACATAGTGAGACCCTGTCTCAAAAAGACCAAAAACAAAAACAAACAAAAAAAAAATCATCTTTGTGCATGACAGGGGTCTGTGTTTCTTATCAGTAGCCTCAGACGTCCCACCTTGGAGGCAAAGGTCTCACCTTTGTCCAGGATTTTAAACTTCTGAGTGAGGCGTTCTTGACTCTTCAATTCTCAACAAGATCTTGAGCCTTTTTTTCCTTTCTGTTCAGGAGAATGGGACTCACAGCTTTGTATACTGCGGCCTAAGAGTTAGGGTTAGGGTTATGGACTGGGGCTTTTAGAGACTGGGTCTGAGGCCTCTTTGGGGGCCTGATACCCCATTGCAAAGGTTCTTTGCAAGATGAGTTCTTTAGGAAACCTTTTGAGGGACTGGTGTCTGAGTGTTCTTGGGAGTCCGAGATCCCCTTCCTGTACAATAATGTGAGACCCTTTTACCTCAATTACAAGATCTAAAATGTACCTTGGGGATGAACATCTCATCTTTTTCTCTGTAATGGAGGCTGGAGGGCCTCTTCTTGCCCTTCAAGGACTTCTTGTCAGGAACACAGAACCGTTCCTTGGGAACACCACTCCTTGGAACGTGGGCAGTGTACAGTTATATGGGTGAGGTCTGAGGCCTCCTTGTAGGTCCACCCCTACCTTTTAAGTGTTGAGACCCACTCTGCTAAGGACACTTGAGGTTTCCCTTAGGGACAAGAGATCCATATATACCTCCATGACTGCATCTCTGTAGATGAGGTCTGAACTTCCTCAAAGAACTTGAGGTGCTCCTTATCGACAGGATGACTCACCACCAAAACTGAGCCCTGACACTCTTCCCTTGTGACATGGATGTAGGGTCCCTCAGGAACAGGGTCTTGAGGTCCTTCCCTCACAAGCATTTGAATTTTAGATGTGTCAGGATCTGATGCCTACCTTAAGATCTGAGACCTGAATCTGCTCTGAACGTACTGTCATCTCACTTTAGACAATATACATATACCTCAGTCATAGGGGCCTGTTAGGTACATAAAGTTTCCTGCTTTGGGGATTTTGCCAGATTCTCACTCTGCGGGACATGAGTAGGTTGAGATTCTGAGGAAAAGAGTGTGGGCCTCTTCTGTGGTCCCTTAGGGACAAGAGATCCTTTCTGTTAGGAAAACTCCATAGATTCCTATGGAGTCTGAGCATGAGGCTCTTTTCCTACCACAACTACTACTTTCTCACCTGCCAGAGGACATGATATGAGGTCATCTTCAGTGTGGCTGGACAGAAGGGTCTGGGTGCTCTTCAGGTCAGGTTAGGACTCCTTAACCTGAGCCCCGCTCAAGTCAGAGCTAGGACGATCCCCCAACTTTCTGGAGAAAGGTCAGGTCCTGGGGCCATGAAGTTTAAGGCCACCTCTCTGACTCTGGGAAAGATTTCTGACGTTGTTCAGCTGTGCTTCCAGGGGCTGAGGAAATAATCTAGGCTTGGAATTCCTTTTGGTAAGCATTCTTCTTCTTAAAGACACTGTGGGCTCATGAAACCTTCCAGTTACGGGGGAGAGAGTATCCACTTCTTGGGAAGAAAAGGAGGAAGAAGGTGGTCCTCCTCTCCCTGCCTCACTCTCCTCTCCCTGCGTCACCTGGCCCAACTTGGGACCTTTTGGGAATGAGAGGAGGGGAGATGGTTCCTGTCACCCAAATCTTGGTCTCAAAGTGTCACCAAGGTTTTTTATTTATTATTTTTTTTGAGACAAGGTCTTGCTACATAGTTCAGGATGGCCTTGAATTCACTGTCTAGCCCAGGCTGGCCTTAAACTTGCAGGGTTCCTCCTGCCTCAGCCTCCTGAGTGCTGAGGTTTCAGGTATCTACCACCTGCATGACTACCAAGGGTATAGTCTGGAAGCCAGTTGGATCCCTTGGGGAGAGGGAGATACTGAACGGCAGTCTGGATGATTAAATCTGGTCCCAGTTCTGCAAATGTATCCCTACTCTCTTTAGGACTCTTTCTGCTTCTCTGGGGTCTGGGTGCTGGGGAGGCTCTCTTTTCCCAGACATGGCCACCTTGGTGAGTCTACTCTGAGAAAGATGGGTTGTAGGAATCCTGAGCTCGGGAAAACAGCTCTTTGAGAAGGGGGCATGCGTGCATGCTGAAGTGGTGGAAGAGCCTGGACTTGGCATCATCCACAGAGCGGGTTCCATCTCTGGGCCGGTCATGCTTCGCTGTGTGAAGCAGAATAGGTTCTGCTGTGCTTTGTGTGCCTCAATAACCTTGATACTCAGGTAACAGGCTGGTAAGGTGCTGTTTAGCTTTGGAATTTTAGGGAACTCAGCCTAAAGCCCTCTGGCACTGGAGGTGACATTGAATGGTGAGTGTCTTTTTTTTTTTCCGTTTCACTTTTTTTTTTTTTTTTTTTTTTTTTGGTCTTTTTGAGACAGGGTCTCGCTGTGCAGTTCAAGCTGGCCTTGAGCTCACTTTGTAGCCCAGGTTGGTCTCAAACTCACAACAATCCTCCTGCCTCAGCCTCCCAAGTGCTGGGATTATAGGCCAGTGCAGGCCACCACGCCTGGCTTCATTTCACCTTTTGTTAAACTAAATCCAAACAGTTTAGTGAGCCTTGCTGCTGGGGCTGCCTCATGCAAGCGCTCCTTTCTGGGGTTCCAGAGACCATGGCTTCAGGGCTGTGACTGAAGTGTGGCCATGTCCCATCACAGACGCCCCTGTAGCACTAGGAACAGAAAGGCTCAGCTGGGCCTCCTGCCCGAGCTCCTATGCAAGATACCTTTTCAGCTCTTCCACCACGGCCTGCAGCTCCAGGAACTTGAGTTTGCCCGGTGGCCTCTTCTTAATTCCAGTCCGGGGCTGGCCACCACTGCCATCCGTGCGCCACAGCATCGCTTCCAAGCTGCCCTTCGGCGACGACGCCGAGTTGAGCGCCACCGCCAGCTGCGGGACCGCCAAGCACAGCGCCGCAGTATGCACATTGGTGCTACGCACAGCGTCTCCACGCACAGGACCACCGCGCACAGCGCCCCCACACAGCACCCGGCTCTGCAGTGGCCTGGCACGCATGCGTGCATGCATCAGCTGGTACAGTGCTCCACCACCTGGGCCTCTGCCGCCCCCCCCCCCCCCCCACCCCCGTGTGCTTTCCCACGGGGCCAACTTCGGCCTTCTGCTTCCTCTCGCTAGAGCCCATGGCGCCCGGACCGAGGCTCAAGCCTCCGGGTGGACCATGACCGGAAGCTTGCCGTGTGGTCTGCCAGCAACCCTTCCATTGGGGTGCGTGTCTTTTGAGGAGGAACTGGGTTTCTTCCATTCCTTCTCAGTCTCTTCCCTCGCAGCCATCCAGGCAGGCTTAGCAGGCAGGCCGAGTGACCCATGCAGGCTTGATGGGTGGCAGTTTTCGTGGCACAGTGGCTAGCTGTGCCGTGGTGAATAAGCTCGGCAGGATTGCCTTGGAGAGCCTGTTGGAAAGTGTGGAGAGTTGAATGCAGAACAGTTTGGACTTTGGAACTGGCCAGGCTTGAGTTCAAAATGTCAGTGTCTCCTGCTGAGCTGTTTTATGGCTGTAGGTAAAATACTCCCCTTTTCAGCTGTGTTTTTTTCACCGGAAACCCATCCCTGTCTAGGATTATTGAGTGGTACCTGACTTTGCCCACCTTGGACCTTGGCTGGTTCTTCCTCTTGTCCAGAACAGGTAGTTTGTCCCTGGCCCATCTTGGTTTTCCCTAGGAGCCTTTGTCCACCCATAAGAACCCGTCATTTGGTATCTAGGAATCTGCCAATTCCTTGAGCTCTTTTTACACCATCTGGAATTGAGTAGCTAGCTAGCAGGGAGGTGGGGGTGATCCTTGCCTAGGCAACATAGATTTGTGCCCTATTTCTGTACTAAGCTTTTTGTTATTGTTTTTTGTGGGGTTTTTTTGAGACAGTGCCTTGCTATGTAGGTCAGGCTGGACTTCAACTCACTATGTAGCCCAGGCTGGCCTTGAACTAACCTCCTGCCTCAGCCTGTCAAGTGCTGAGATTTCAGGTGTGCACCACCACCCCCGGCCTGCACTAAGCATTTATGTGGTCGTCTAGCAATTTCCTTTTCTGGGTCTTTGTTTTCTCTGTCCATAAAACGGGTG